TTGATAAAGAATATCTCTTTGGTTTTGAGACTTTAGTCTTTGCAACTTCAGGGATCTTATCTATTCACGAACAGCTTGTAACCCTCCAAAGAGAAAGGAAAACTTGAAATCGCATCATATGACCCCTTTAAAATATAATAGATTAATAGACATAGATCATATTTTGATGCTTATATATATCCCATCTCATGTTACGTCTATCAAAAATGCTTCCACAGATTTTCCAGTTATTTTTGGGTCTGACTTACTAAACTGGAATTTGGCGTCCAAAATGCCTAAATTGTTTCATTGCAATGAAGTCACTCCATGCACACACGCATAGGCTATGCACAAGACACACTGTGCATGTGGGGGATTCTTGAGTGTGTGTGTGAGTGTGTGTGTGTGTGTGTGTGTGTGTGTGTGTTTGTGTGACTATGAGACATACCCATGGGGCTTTGATTGTTTGGGAGTTCTCCGAGCAGACTCAAAGAGGGAGGTCAGGTCTTTTATCGTGAGGTTCTGTCTCCCACTTTCCTTTACCCTGGGTCAAACCTTCACCTCCAGAGAGCAGACCACAGGCGGTCAACCAGCGGTCAACACACACACACAAACACATGCCACGGAAAGGTTTGTATGTATGCATGAAGCTTGTCAATCACATCAATCTGAAGCAATCAAAAAGTGCACCGAAATGGAAGAAATCTGATAAATCTTTGCGAAATGGAGGCAATCTGATAAATCTTAATATGAGATTTTGAGAAACTACAAATCCTTAGTTGCACTGGCGCAGAATAGCAAAAAAACAAGGTTCATTTGAACTTTTTAAATTCAAGAACTGATGTTTTAAAAATCATCTCTTGATTTTAATTTCCTTTAATACGTTGGAAAAAAGGAATTAGTCATTTGTTTAGAAAATCTTTTTAATTTAAGAGCTGATGTTTTAAAAATCATCAACTGCTCGAATCAATCATTTTAATTTCTTTTACTAAAGTGCACAAACACACACACACACACACAAACAGAATAATTAGTAATTTCTTGAGGAAATGGAAGGAATCTGATAAATCTTAATGTGAGATTTTGAGAACCTGCACTGGTGCAGAAAATAAAACAAGGTTTATTTGAACTTTTTAAATTTAACAACTGATGTTTTAAAAATCATCTCTGAAAATTTTAATATCCTTTAATAAAGTGAAAAAAGGAATAATTAGTCATTTGTTGAGAAAATCTTAATGTGATATTTTGAGATCCTGTAAATCCTTGATTGCATTGGCACAGAAAAGCAAAAAAAATGCTTTAATTAAACTCTTTTTAAATTTACTAACTGATCATTTAAAATTATCTCTGATTATTTTAATCTCTTTTACTAAAGTGCACAAAAACACACAAAAATAGAATAATTAGTCATTTGTTGAAGAAGTGGAAACAATCCGATAAATCTTAATGTGAGATTTTGAGAACCTATAAATCCTTGGTTGCATTGGTGCAGAAATTAAAATAAAATAAAATCTGATTATTTCAATTTATTTTACTAAAGTGAAAACACACCAATAATAATTAGTCATTTTTAAGGTGATTGGCTATATATATGACCTAAGTAAGACATTGTATTTCAGTTAATCTCTTTCAACTGATCTAAAGTATTATTTTTCACAAAAACTCACTCTCTTCTGTCATTTCCTCGCAAAGGAATCCACCCAAACCAAAAGCATCATCTACTTGAGAAGTGATACAGTGCCAAGCCCAGCAGATACAGGAGACTGGAAATACATGACACATGGTGCAAATCAAACACAGGAGGGCAGCGAAAACCTGCAGGTTAATGCAAAGCAACTTTGCTGCATTTGACAAAAAAAGTGTCAAATGATTGCATTTCTTACGATTAAAGATGCTTAAACCAACATAAGCACGGCATCATGAAACTTTGTGTCCTGGCTTTGGGGTTGGGTAAGGCTACCTGCTCTTCCCCTATGCTGACCTGCGGAAGGCACCAGCAATACAACCCCAACCCCATCCCCATCAGGGACGGCCCCAAGCCTCAGGCTACAGGCTGGCCGCCGCTCCCCTGCTCTCCCCCAGCAGGGGCTTACATTTCAGCCGAGCGCTCCAAGCCCCCTTCTGGAGGTGATTAGCCCCCTGAAGCCGTGACAGATTCTTTCCGAGATATCCGCCTCACTTATGTTTATTTTATCCGAGCTCTCTTTTGTGGATGTGCTGGACATGAAGTAACCCACTTGAAAATGGGTATCGGCTTACATACATACGCCACGGGACTGGCGGAGGAGTCAGAACAACAACAAAAAAAGTAAAGAAAGAAAGCAACCGTTCGCATGTAAAGAGGATATCTTTCCATTTATTTGCCCTGCTCTTTAACGTGACCCTTCATCTATGCCTTATCTCTTACGCTCGACCCCCCTCGGTAGCATTGTGCTCAAAGCCCACCCCCCTCGGGTGGCACTAGGGCTGCAGACGGCGCTCTCTCTCTCTCTCTCTCTCTCTCTCTCAGTCTGGAACCCCTAAGTGCCCTACCTCCTCTGTACTTAACTCAATTTCACACTTCAGGTCCGCTACAAAGTCTCCTGAAATACAATCATCTTGTTTATTCTCCACCATCCCAAACAACCTAATAGCTAGCTATTTACGATCCCATCATGTGCATTCAATTTAATCGGCCGATGTGTATGTTTTCGTGTATTACACGCAAGGTAGATCCAAGCGTGTCCCAAATGACTGGATGGATCCAGCCCATGGGGAATAATGAAAATGGATCGGTTCTCATAGAATTCAGGAAATTATGCAAACTCCATCAATTGTTGACTTGTATATTATATAACAACAACTTATTTCCTATAATGAATCAATTGATTAATATGGAGAATCACTTTATTTATACAGAGAATAAATGTATTCGTATGGTGAATCGTTTGATTAGTACTGTGTACTATTCAACTGATTCAAATGGTGAATCATTTTATTCATATAGTGAAAAATAGATCCATATGGTGAATAAATAGATTCATATAGTGCTGAAAAACAGATTCATATTTCTAAAATGAAACAACTGAGTCATATAATGATTCAATTGATTCATATAGTATATAAATATAAATATTAGTTGTGTCCCAACATTCCACACTTCGTTTTTCTGGTTAAATAAGTGGATCATCTGGGTGTTTAAAGTACATTTTTTGTTGGAATTTTCTGTGTGGATACACTAATCATGGAATTTATCCTACAAAATGGCATTTAATATTATGTAAACTGGGAAACACATATTCTTTTAATTTATAAAGTGACTCATTTGAATAGTAAATCAATTGATTCATACAGTACAGAGATTCAGTTGATTCATATGTAGCAACAACAGATTCATATCTGAATAAACTGATTTGTATAGCGATTTAACTGATTCATATTATAAATCAATTAATTCATATACATATATATTTTTAGATGTATATAGTAACTTGTTTGATTTGTGGTGCATATATGCATGAATTCAGCCATACCTATAAAGTTGTCCTTGAAAGTAGGACGTGTTCGCCTTTTAGTTTCTGTGGAAACATACTGGTTACTGTGGCTCCTGAACAGGGCCAGACATGGATTTGGGTCTAGAACACATAACACAGACAGGAACACAGCCACAAATGAGCTCATACGAACGCAGGATTCATCGAGTAGACAAGCGCAAACAGAGAACTGACAGAAACCAAAGTTTCATTTTCCATTACAAGACCAAAGCGCCCATGGAGCAGTGGCTCTGAGAGCTTGACACAGGCCCTCATTTCATGGGGCCATGATTGGATTTGTGGCATTAGAGTCACGCACTCCTGACCTTGATCAAAGTCGGCTTCAGGCCAACCCTGGAGGATCCAGACCAGGGCCAGCACTACCGTGTCTGGGATTCTTCTCAGACTCACGGCCCATTGAACTTACGAGCACTGATGTTTTCCTAGCTCCTAGTAATGAAGCAGGTTCTGGGCCCTTGGAGCTCAAAGCACGATGGAATATATGTAAGAATGTTTGCAGACGGGCCAATCGAACATGACAAGGCATGGAGCAGGGTGGAGCTGGTTGATGTTATGGCAGATTAAGCTTCTCATGGAATCACAAGCTCCATGCTAGTGTGGCATGACTGTTTACCAAAGACGTAGAGAGGGAAAAATTATTAAAAAAAAGGTTCTGAAGCATTGTTTCATTAAATGGATAGTTCACCCAAAAAATAAAACACTACACTACGAAGAACACCGTGGGTTTTTTTTTATATGATGTATTAAGAAACGGGCTTTTTTTCTTAGAAGTCTCTTTGTGTCAGTACAGATTGATTGATTGATAGCAGCCTTTTTAGAGGTAATGCTTTTAACTTGACTAAATATTATATTAGTATTATTCACTGTAGCTTTACTGACAGGAATGTACTTACACTGTCTTTCAGATGCTAATACAGTATATCGTATCACGGACAGTGGTTCTCAGCTTTTTTGACTCCAAGACCTCCACTGTTCACAACAATATTCAAAGACCTTTTCCAGTTGTTTGTGATTTACTGGATAAGGATTTAGGATAACAGCTGTTGATGGGGTGAATTAAAAAAAAAAGGTTATATTGCATTAAGTTGTTTTAGGTGATTTTAATGCTTGTTTTTTTTCTTGTTTTGAATCATTTCTGTCATCTTGAGGCCCCATAAGAAGTTTGCTGAGGCCCCTAGTGGGCCCTGGCCCCCTGATTGAGATGCACTGATCTAGGATCCAATAAAGAATCTATTGAATTAAAAGTTGAATGATTTTAAGTATAACTCATAAGATGGATAAATTGATATATAAATATGCTTACCAAATAACCTCTTCTGCTTCTGTTTCTTGCCTTTCATTTTGTTGGCTCTCTTCAGCATGAGAAGGACAGTGGACTCATTAGTGATTCCCCTGAAATAGAAGTTAACAAGAGTAACTACACTGGTCTATAAAAAGTTTTTTATGTGGAATTTAAAATGATTTTCTAATAAATTTGATTAAAATTGTGGAACTGAAGTAAAAGGACTGCACAGAGTAGCACAGAAACATACCATTCTTTGAGGATTTTTTCTGATTCCTCATTCCATTTTGAGGCTTGATCTGGAAATTTGTTTAGAAAACCATAGAAATTGCAAGAAAAAATTGGCAGCATGTTAATTTAAGTAATGATCAGCATAAGACATGAAGCCAATGATTGCCTGCTACTAAGGTGAGACGTCAAGCTTTGCTCCGAACAGGCTGCACCTTCATTATCTGACCAGGCATGTTTTGGCTGCAGTGGAAAAACAGATAGAGTCTTTGGAGACCCTTGAATCGGAAGAGGGAGTGGAGACTAAGAAACACAAAAGAAAAAATAGCATCAGTATGCAGTTTCTAACACAAAGACTTGCTTTATTTTTTTTAAAGATAGATAATATTCATGCTGCCTGGTTGTAGAACATCGAAGTGCATTCAACAATCTCTACATTTCCACAGCAGCAGCTGCATCACATCACAGGTCCGTGATAGAAATGGCCAGCTCTCTCTAAAGAAAAGAAACCGCAGGAGAAAAAGCACCGTGCTGAAAAATGACATCTGCTGACGAGAAGGAAGTTTGAGGCGGCCTAGAAAGTAATTGTGTTTTTGGAGGCAATAAATTTGGCACTTAATCACCCAGAGAGAGACAGACAGACAGACAGAAGGAGGATCCGTAGGGCTGTTACCTTTGGCAACGGCAGCTGTTCTGAAAATGGCATCATCCTGGCCGGTAAGGCATTGGAATCCAGGGTTATCCAGGTTTTCTCCAGCGCTTTCTATTCACAACAGGACACAAACAAAATCCAAGAGTTGAACATGGACTGCACCATTCCAAAATGCCATGTGATGGGATTTCTACAGCTGATAAAGTGCAACTTGATGCTTTCATTATTCCTTCAAAGCAAGTAGCAGATCCCATCACATGGCATGCACTGAACTGGTTTCCTGTGTGTGACAAACACTTGAGAACGTATCCACTTCAAAACAGATTCCCCCCCCCCCGAAGTCGTGACAGGCCGAAATTGGAGAGCCAACACATGAAAAATGCCAGAATTTTTAGATGTAGACCAATAATACAGATCAATTTAACATGACATCGTAATACGCTATAATGATTCGCCTAATAAGCTACACAGATGAGCTCACTTAGCATAATGCATAGGTTAAGCCAATGTTAAGTTGAGTAAACTTGATGCAAATTGGCAGAAAATAGCAGGTGACATAAGAAAAAGAAACAAAGTTTTCCTTCCCCTCTTTCCCGCTCATTGACTGCTCTTTTTCAATACCTAATCACAGCTGACAGCCGACTGCCTCACGGTTCTGAGCGCTAGTTTAAGGTCTGTCAGCACAAGGGCCCAGGCTATCTGTCTACCGACTTCAACGTCCAAAATGCCATGTGATGGGATTTCTACAGCTGATAAAGTGCATCTTGATGTTTTCATTATTCCTTCAAAGCAAGTAGCAGATCACATTAAGCTAAAACCACTGAAGTAGTTTCCTGTGTGTGACAAACACTTGAGAACGTATCCACTTCAAAACAGATTCCCCCCCCCCCGAAGTCGTGACAGGCCGAAATTGGAGAGCCAACACATGAAAAATGCCAGAATTTTTAGATGTAGACCAATAATACAGATCAATTTAACATGACATCGTAATACGCTATAATGATTCGCCTAATAAGCTACACAGATGAGCTCACTTAGCATAATGCATAGGTTAAGCCAATGTTAAGTTGAGTAAACTTGATGCAAATTGGCAGAAAATAGCAGGTGACATAAGAAAAAGAAACAAAGTTTTCCTTCCCCTCTTTCCCGCTCATTGACTGCTCTTTTTCAATACCTAATCACAGCTGACAGCCGACTGCCTCACGGTTCTGAGCGCTAGTTTAAGGTCTGTCAGCACAAGGGCCCAGGCTATCTGTCTACCGACTTCAACGTAATGGCAGGAGCACCAAGCATCTGCTCGTACCTCATCAAAAATGAATTCGTCCATGTCCACCTCTTCTAAGTCCTCGTCGCTTTCTGTGATCCGAGCAGCAGCTAGAGCACGGGCCAGCTTTTTCCGCAGAACGCAGCCCCTCCATGCAGCCTGCAGGGGCAACACACACAGCCATGAATCACACGCAAGCATAAATATTGTGTGTTATCCCATTAGGAAGATAAAACATGTTAACCTCTGTTTAATTGCCCCGCGGTCTGCAGTTTGAACTTTTGGTGACTTTGGCTTTGTAAGACAAATGTAACACTGGGATGCCTTTAAATCTGCGTATTCCCCGCGGGAAAAAAAAGACTTAACGGATCAGAACCCTAGCGCCCCCACTCCAGCGACACGTTGGAATCTGATTAATCATTTTTTTCTTTCGGTTCGAGTCCTTGGAGACTTATTAAACACAAAGAGAGAGAGAAAATATCCCTTAGAAGTTACATGTGAAAGAAATAGCCTGTTTTTAAAAGCACTACCTACCGACTCAAAACAAGCCCTTGGCAGTAATAGGTGTAATGAAGATGATTTAATTTTATTCAAGTTATTTATTGCATTCATAAAAGGAGGCATGGAAAACACCTTTTCAGAGATATATCAAACATTCCTTGATCAAAACCAAAGTGAACAGAGGATTTTTTTGTGAAAGGAGCTAAAAAATGAGTCTCACCTGAATAACAACAGCAGCACGTTCCCTCTCAGGCCCCCCAATGCAGGTATCTTCCACCTTATGAAGATGTGATTTTGTGTTAGTTTTTTCAATTAAGCCTGGGAGGCCCTCACGTCTCCGCAATAAGCATCTCCTCCGCCAGCATCGTTGGATCGCCACAGCTGCCGCTCTGAGTGATAGCAGAGAAGACAATTTTATCTGATGACTCACCAAGGTCATGAGAGACTAAATTAATGTCACTGAACTCAAGTCTTGGATGATTCATCTGCGTTAAACCATCTGGAGAGAGACCCAGCAGGGGTGTAATGTCATCCGAATGATTTAGAGATGAGCTTTATTTTGATTACCTTTAGCTAAAATTAAATGTACCTTCAAATCACGGGAGATGTTTACTACATACAGAAATTAAATGTAAAAGTAAGAACATTTTGTGTGTGAGAGTCATACATTTTAAGGTTCAGTGCCTGAACAGGTTCCTTCTCACTTTGTGTCTGCATGCAGTCAGCAGATCGTAGCTCAAGGTCAGCTTGAGAAAAGCTTGAGTCTTTTTGTGTTTCTGCCAATCTGCTGTATCCCGGAGACGCATCTCTAGACTTTGTCTCTGTGATAAAGATGCTTCAGAATAACTACATGAACTACTGTTAGCCGCCAGTGCAGAATCCTCTGTGACACAGCTGTCGCCATATTCATGGGCGTAACGCTGGTCCACTGCCAGTCTGAGCAGGTCTGCTTGGTGGCCAATGGCAAGTGGCACCCTGCAGAACTGTGCGAAAAATGGGTTGGAAAAATGCAGGAAAAAAGCACAACATTTCAGATATTAGGAGCCGGAGCCATTCACATAGAAAGCATTTTTGCATTCCACTTCACTGCTTGTAAACTTTCTATATAAACATGTGCTGGACAGACATGTTTGGCCATAGTGATTGCGTATTTTGCAGCGTCTTGCATGTGACACTCCATTAAAAAAAGGTGGCGTTCAAGTTAAAAGAACTTCTTGTTTTAAAAACATTTTCTTTTTCATTCTGTGGCATTTTTTAAAATGTAAAATTGCAAGTTTGAATGGCTCATTAGAATCTTGGTAACACTTCACCAAAAGGTCTCATTAGTTAACATTAGTTAATGCATTAATAACAATAAGCAATACATTTGTTACAGTATTTCTTAATCTTAACGTTAATTGATAAAAGTACTGTTCATTAGTAGTTCATGTTAACTCAGTTCCATTAAATATTAAAAATGTTTAATAATGATTTTAATAATGTATTAGTAAATGTTCAAATTGACATTTAACATATGCTTGATGAATTATTTTTCATTGTTAGATCATGTTTACTAATGCAGTTAACTAATGTTAACAAATGGAACCTTATTGTAAAGTCTTATTGATGAGGATTTAAAGGGGTCCTATTATGCTCTTTTACAAAGTCTTGATTTTGTTTTGGGGGAGTACTAGAACAGGCTCTCATACTAGGTTGTTCGAAAAACACATTATTTTTCACATATTTTACATTATTACAACACCTCTC